TCCTGCTTAATCCCCACTGCTTTCGGGGCACCCCTTTATTTCCTTGCCATTCCCCCCTTACCCCACCCCTGCTTTTGGCCCTTGGGCACCCTCTGGCCTTCCAGGGAGTGCAGGGGGTGCCCCCAAACCCAGTTCATCTCCCCGAGGGCTCCTTGCCAAGCCCATGCCCCGGCTGTGCCCGGTGCGAGGCACCCCCTGCCTGCTGAGGGTGGCAGTGGGGCACGGGGGTCCCAGCCACCCCCGTGGTGCCCTGGGGGACAGGCGGGCAGCAGAGTCCCTGCCCTGTTTGTTAGCTTTTTGGGTGTGCCCCTCTGAGCTGCCCCGGGGTGTGCCCAGACCTGATCCTGGCATGGTGGGAAGGTGGAGGTGCCCTGGGGTGGGGGGGACTGGCTGGGCTGGCCCCAGGTGCTGCTGCGGGTGAGAGGTGGCAGCACCCCGGGGTGGGGACATCCCCACCCTGGCAGGGAAGGGGGTAGCATGTCTGGGGGGAGCTGTGGGCAGGAGGATGGGAGCAGCCTCAATGAGGATGAGGTTTGGGACTTGGCTGTGCCCAGGGACCCTGTCCGGGGGGTGGCCTGTGCCCAGCTAACAGGCACACCGGCCTCTCGCCCATCCTTGGCAGGGTTCGTGGTGGGCCATGCTGGGTTGTACCAAGCCCTGGCCATGTTCGCGGTGGCATACTTCATCATCGGCATGACGGTGCTGTCCGTGTGTGCCATTGCCACCAACGGGGCGCTAGATGCTGGAGGAGCCTACTGTATCCTTTGCTGTGGGTGCTGCTGGGGCAGGGCATGTGAGCCAAAATTGGGTGACCACCCAGCAGCCTCGGGGTGCCACACTGGGGTTGTGAGCCCCCTGCACTGGGAGGGAAGGGTGGAAGCACCTGATGGTGGTTTGGGCTGCTGGCATCTTCCCTTGACTCAAGCAAGATATGATCAGCCGTGCCCTGGGCCCAGAGTTCGGGGGCAGCATCGGGATAATGTTTTTCCTGGCCAATGTGTGTGGCAGTGCCCTCTATGTGCTGGGGCTGGTGGAGGCAGTGGTGGACAGCTTTGGGATCCCACCTGGTGAGTACCCCCATTTATGGTGGTACACAGCGGGTGTCCCTTACCTAAGCAGCCCTAGCGTCCTGCCAGGTGTGCCAAGCACCATACCTGGCATAGCTGGCACAGCTTGTCCAGCCCTCTGGCCAGTGAGTTGGTGCCCGTCATGCCTGGCACAACGCCGGTGGCTCTCAGCTCCTGCTGATGCCCCCTCTGAACCCCACTGATCCTGACTTGTCTCTGCCCAGGGCAAAAAGCAGGCACAGGTGTCCACGTCCTGCCTCAGAGCTACTGGTACGAGCTGCTCTACGGCACCGTGCTGCTGGCCCTCTGCCTCCTCGTGTGCCTCGTGGGTGCCTCCATCTATGCCAAGGCCACCTTTCTCATCTTCCTCATCGTCGCGGGTGTTTTGGGCACCATCCTCATCAGCTTCTTTGCTACACGGCCCATTGGGGTGCCCATCCGCCTGCCCCACTTCAACGGCTCTGAGACTGAGAATGGCTCCTTCACTGGCTTCTCACTTGCCACCCTGCGAGACAACCTGGGCGGTGAGGAGCGGCTCTCCCCACCCTGCCCACCATACCCACCGTGGCACCTGCGCCTCAGGAAGGGCTGACACGGGCACCTCCTCATCGGCAGGGGCTCACCGGGAAGTGGGGGGAGCTTGTGGGCACAGAATAGGTGCCGTGGCAGGGTTTCTTACATGGTTTGTGTATGGGGACATCGAGGAGAGTGTATATGGTGGGGCTATGCTGTCCTGGACAGCTTGTCACAGCCTGTACATGTGTGTCCTGCAGGTGGGTATGGGGTGGACTACACCACTGGGCAGATGATGAGCTTCAGCTCTGTCTTTGCGGTGATGTTCAATGGCTGCACCGGCATCATGGCAGGCTCCAACATGTCAGGTACGGGCAGGGGGTGCTGGGCTGGGTGGCACTGGGAGCGGGAGCAGAGGCTGGAGGAGATCGGGGGGTGCTGTGCCGGTGGGCACTAATGCTGCCTGCTCCCGCCCACAGGCGACCTGAAGCGCCCGAGCTACTCCATCCCACGAGGCACCATCTCTGCTGTACTCTTCACCTACCTCGTCTACAACCTGCTGGCTTTCCTCATGTGTGCTACTTGCAACAGGTACAGCCACCCATCCCCTTGCTGGGGCCATCATGCCAGGGTGTGCCCAGTGGCAGGGCAGGTGCCAACATGTGCGTGTCCCTCTCCAGGACCCTCCTGCAGAAAGACTATGGCTTCCTGCGTGACATCAGTATCTTCCCGCCCCTGGTCACGGTGGGTATCTATGCTGCCACCCTCTCTGCAGCCATGAGCAACCTCATCGGGGCATCCCGCATCCTTTACGCCCTGGCCCGGGATGATCTCTTCGGTGAGTATCTGGAGCGTGCTGGCATCTGCCAGACCCCACCTGGCAGGTTGTCCCTGCCAGGGACCAGCCTTGGCACCAGGGAACCCTCTCGCTGGTGTGGGGTGATGTTTTATGGGTTGGCGTGTGCCCACTTGGATCACCTGCATGCCCTGGCGTTTGCTCATGCCTCAGGACTGAGGGTAGGGAGAGGACTCCTGGCTGGTGGCTGAGCCTGTTGGTGCCCACCTGGGTGCTCCAACCCAACCTCCCTGCTCTACCCGCAGGTCGGGCGCTGACACTGGCCAAGAAGACGTCTGCGAGTGGGAACCCTGTGATGGCAGTGATCCTCTCCTGGCTGGTGGTACAGGTTAGTTTGCCGGTGATGCTCCTTTCCCACCCCTGCTGGGTGAAGGTCGGTTGGCGCCTGGGCTGGGCATTGTGGAGCCTGGCACATCCCCCTGCCCTGGGCATCCTGCTGTGGCTGTGCTCTTCTCATCCTGAGCCCATAAATGAAGGATAAATCACAGCAAGGGGCAGGGATTTGTGCTGTGGTGGCACTGCCCGTACCCTGTACCCTTTCCTGGCACGCCACCGTGGCATGCCTCAGGCTCGGCAGAGCTGGCTTGGGCACATGTCAGGAGTGCCATCCCAGGGGGTGCATTCACCCTGTGCCCCCCACCCCTCCCATGCTCTCTGCAGCTGGTGCTCTTCTCTGGGAAGCTCAACACCATCGCGGGGGTTGTGACCACCTTCTTCCTCCTGGTTTACGCCACTGTTAACCTGGCCTGCCTGGCACTGGAGTGGGCATCGGCCCCCAACTTCAGGTACCCGCTGGCACAGGGGAGGGAGGCTGCGCTGAGATGCTGGGCCCGCACCAGCCTGTCCATCCGTCTGTCTGTGGTTCCCCTGCCATCCCTGTGCCTGCTGCCCCTTTAAGGGGCATTAAGGGGGGTAAAGACACTCCCATCCCTCGGGAGGGAGAAGGGGCCAGGTCCTGGCATGGCACTGGCTTGGCACAGCCCCCATGCCCTGGCACCGCTTTGCTGAGCAGGTACAGATAAATCCAGCACCACTGGGTACCACCTGCCCCCTCCCCTTAGGCTTTCCGGAGGTAATTTATAGCCGGAGGAAAAAATCTTCCAGGAAGGAGGAATGTGGGTGGCAGGCAGACCCAGCCTGGGGCAGGGGGTATGGGGTACCCCGGCACAGGGCTGGCCTGGCAGCGCTGCCCAAATCTGGGGGAGCACAGCAGGGTGGCCTCATCTCCCTCCTGGGTGATGCCTGCCGCCCTTGGTGCAGGGTGCTGTGCCTCCAAAGCAGGGGGAGTCCCCCAGGTGGGACAGGGGCAGTGCCTGAGCAGGGCTGGGTGGCACTGCCTGGGGGTCTCTCAGAGCACCCAATTCCCAAGGGAGAGCTGGTGTCTGTCGGGCTGGGGCTTGGCTCCCCCCCCAGCTGCTCCCTTGGCTGGGCACGGATGGGGCAGGATCAGTGTCTGTGGGGGAGACTGCTGGGGTGGGTGGCAACGGTCCCCTCACCCACCCTACATCTGTTGTCCCCCCCACCCCCAAGGTCTCCATCAAGTGCAGCGGAAAAGGTTTTTAATTACCTTTCAGGAAAAACAACAATTAGAGAAAATAACAGCTTCTTGCCTCCCCGCCTCCGCCTCCCCGCACCAGGCTGAGGGGGTGTCGCAGCCGCCGGCACTGCCACGCGCTGCCTGGCACTACCTGGCCCCCGGCTGTGCCAGCCCCATAACCATTGTTACCTCTGTTTGCCAGGGGCTGGCAGCAAGGGGCTGCCCGATGCCCTGGGAGGTACCATCTCCCCTCTGTGCCCTCTCCTGCAGGCATATGGGGTGCCCGACATGCCCTGGGCTGGCACAGCAGGGTTTGCTGGGGAGGTGTGGGGGGGCTGGTTGGCACCTTGGCACAGCCCCCCTTGCCATGCCTGCCTTGCAGCTGGCACGGGGACCATGTGGTAGCGAGTGTCCCCTTCTCCCTGCTCCAGGCCCACCTTCCGGTACTTCACCTGGCATACGTGCCTGCTGGGCATTGCGGGCTGCTGCGTCATGATGTTCCTTATCAGCCCTGTGTCAGCCTCAGCGAGCCTGGGCTTCCTCCTCCTCCTCCTCCTCGCTCTCCACTACCTCTCGCCCAGCAGCACGTGGGGCTACATCAGCCAGGCCCTCATCTTCCACCAGGTGAGCCCTGTCTTCCTCCGCTGTTCCCTCATGGGGTGGAGAGCTAGTGGCCCCAAGATGCTGTCTCCATGGCAGCTCCATCCTGGGCAGCGTGTCCTCGGGGCTGGCATCCCCATGGGTGCTTTGTTGAAGGAAGGAAGGAAGTTTCCTCACCTGCTGCCTGCCCACCCTCCCTCCTTCCCTCCAGGTGCGGAAGTACCTGCTGATGTTGGACGTGCGGAAGGACCACGTCAAGTTCTGGCGCCCACAGATGCTGCTGATGGTGCAGAACCCACGGGGCAGTGCCCGCCTCATAGACTTTGTCAATGACCTCAAGAAAAGCGGCCTCTATGTCCTGGGCCACGTTGAACTGCAGGACTTGGGTGAGGGTCTGCCCTGTCCCCCAGCGCTGGTGGCCTCCGCCCCTTGCTGCGGTGCCGGGGGGCTCCCAGAGTCCATGGAGTGCCACCACTGCCCGGCCCCTGGCTGAGTAGGGCAGGCATAGCCAGGGAATGTCAGCGCTGTGGGCACGTGTAGCACCTTGGGCTTGGCACGGTGTGGGAGACATAGGTGGCTTGTGTCTGTCCGATGCCTCCTGTGCACACATGTGCTTGCACACACGTCCTGCATGCTTGCAGGTGCTCAAGTACATGTGGGGCTCCTGCATGTGTCGGCACTGGTGTGCACGCATGGCATGTGCCACCCAGGCTCCCCTGGGCCCCTGTGCGGCATGGTCCCATTGCATGGGTCAGTGCCTGTGCACACCTAGCACACGTGTGGGCACACACTCAGCACAGCCTCACACGTGCATGTGCCTGTGTCCATCCTCACCTCATGCCTGCTACATGTGTCCACGTGCTTCAGGCATGTTTGCACACCGGTGCGTGTTGGTTTGCACACACGTGCTCCCTGGCACATGCCGTGGCCATCCCCATCCCCGCCCCAGCGGATGCATGGGCTCTGCTTCCCCCCCTCCCCGCCGTTGCCGTGGTGACTAATGGCCTGAAATTGGGAGGGGGGATGGGGCTGCCTGGGTATTTTTTATATATTTATGTATAATTTCATATCTCTGGCTGGAAGCTTCCACCCTCCCCATCTCGTGGGTGCTGGGGTGGGCATGGGGACTGGCACTGGTTTTGCAGGGGGGGCTGCTGCGGGGACACCAGGGTGACCCCCTGGTATGGGGTACCTGACCCCCTGATGCTGTTCTTGCACCCCACCCAGACATGCTGCCCTCGGACCCACTGCAGCCCCAGCAGGACTCGTGGCTGAGCTTGGTGGACAAGCTGAATGTCAAGGCCTTCGTCAGCCTCACCCTTGCGCCCTCAGTGCAGCACGGCGTCCGGCAGCTCCTCTTCACCTCCGGCCTCGGTGAGTGGCACCCAGGCTGGGCACAAGTGCTAAGGGGTTTGGAGGCACCTGGGTGGGCGATGCCGAAGCCAAGTTGGGGCTTGGAGGCATCTGGGGTGAGCAATGCCGAAGCCAAGCTGGAGCTTGGAGGTGTTTGTGGCAGCAGTGTTGAGGGACTTGAAGACACCTGGATGGGCAATGCCAAGGGCATTGGAAGCACGTAGTGTGGGCAGTGCCAAAGCCAAGCTGGAGCTTGGAGAGGTGTTGGGTGGGCAATGCCAAAGCTAAATTGGGTCCTGGAGGCATCTGGGTGCATGATGCTGAGGGTTTGGAATCACCGGGGCCAGCAATGCCAAAGCCAAGCTGGAGCTTGTTGGCACCTGCAGTGCTGGGAGGGCTGGTAGAGCCCTTCACCTCTGCTCAGCCGGGCTGGTGTGGTCTCTCCGGCAGGCGGGATGCGCCCCAACACCCTGGTGCTGGGCTTCTATGACGACGCGGCACCGCAGGATGGGCTAGCCCGGCACCCCGCCCTCACCAACAC